GGTTTATCATAAAATATCACTACGTGGTATGGTGCTGTAGTACATAACAGCATATAGGACACGATTTCATCTCAATATCTTTTTTTATCTCTACGACAAATTGGTGTACAACTTGTGGCGGTATAACATGAAATTCTTTCGTCCATGACAAGCTAAAGTGTCGAATAATTCGATTAACACTGGCCTAAAAAAACGACAAAGGATGAAACTGTGAGAATGACGAACTAAATAAGAGAAATGAGGTATCTTGCTAAGCATATTAGAGTTTGAATTATCTGATGAATACGTTGGTAAATAAGGTCTGAGAATTCATAATAAGACAATTTTCTATTTGTACTAATTGTCACTGGGATATATCGATTCACGTGGGGGAATATTGACCTTATTTTTTAGTTTCAAAATAATTACGGGAACTGTAAGATTGGAACATAAAATACTCCGTTCAACAGTATGCCTGAGAAAAAAGACCAAACGATTTTTGGCGAGTATTACACTTCTCATTTTTTAACACTTTTATAAATGCCCAATAAGCTCACTGAGCTTGAATAGTTTAGTTCAAAATATTCAAATTTGAATACCTACTCGAATAAATTCTTTAAATGGGAAACAATAGGGGTGGCTCAATCAGTGAATTTCGCATCTTCTGTTACAAAATTCCTACAAAGAAAGCTTAGTGCTTCATGATTAACATATAATTTAACATATATAATACGGGAGGGCGCATGCAATCAAAGTTTAAACAGTGGTATTTTAATTATTAATAGTTATCCTGTATCAACTTTGTTTCGTAGAACCTTTATGAATACAATTTAGATATGTGACAGCGCTCGCGTTTATGTATGCTTACAAAACCTTGAGTGACAATAATTGCATTGATACGCCTAAACATTTAACAGGCAATAAGGTTTCAAGCTCACGAGTAGAGGGAGAGAAAAGCAACCAGTAATTTTAGAGTAAATGTAGCATGTAGGAGGAGAATTAGGTCTATATAACGATAAAACTCAGGTGAATCACCCATATTTAGTATTTACTATCGCATATTAACTGTCATCAAGGATGACATAATTTATAATGTCTAGCAATTAATAAAGTTACACATTTATGCAAGTTATTGTATAAACATTTCACAAACTTCAATCTAGTATTCATTCAATCAAATACACCTCACTGTTTCAAAATGTTAGTATTCTTTGACCGGAATGATTCGGAGTTTTGTGAAAAATATTTTGCGTATAAGTAACCCTAGTTTGTCGACTTATGTTCACTCAAAACTTTAGTAAAATTAGGAGTTTACTGAAAGAAGTATTCTTCGGTAACGAATTAGCTTTTCACTTTTTAAAAGGCATTTTAGGCTTTATGGGTGGTCCATAGCTTTGAGGTTCACGAAAAGATGCAAAAGTGTAAAGTGTGACGCCAAAAATGTATTAGTATTTGCAAACATGAGTTTGTCGACTGGAGTTATACTACAGGTTACAGGTAGTGGAAGCATGACGAGCTTCAATAAAGAGACAATAAGCAGAGTATGTTGGAACAAATGCAAGCTTTAAATACATGTATTCAGTAGCCTAAAATAAATTGAAATCGCGGAAAATATGCATTTTGTCATCTATCTGATAATTTCAGCCAGCGTTTAGTGACATTTTCACTCAAGTTAAGTACCATGAAAGTAGAGGAAGAGCGCGCGAAATAACTCAAAAAACCTTGAAGCGAACCAGCAGTTAGCGACATTTTTGTTAAGTATGAATTGTAAGCACACAATTGAGGTAATTCTCAGTCACATTATACATGACTTAAGGCACTTTCGTCAGTAACACGATTTTATGGTGAATACAACTACACCAGTTATTTTATTCTGTACACATCGTCAATAAACAAAGCATGGAATGGAAGTCGAAACTCTTTCTCAACTTCTTTCATTGACTACGAAATGGCATTCACTAAACAGCGTTGAGTGAGAAGTGATTTCGAAACTGCTGCAACACTACCATCTTCAGTGCCTACTTCTTTAGCAACCTCATCCAACAGCTGGCTATGTGACAGGAGCCCGTGTCAGGTGATCGACAACGGGAACCTTAGTCGAAGCGTTCACAAGGGTTAGAAAAGACTAGCCGCCCATTATCACCTGTAACATTCCTAATAATGGTAAACTGGATTATGCTTCAGATTGTAAGGACTGAAGAGAAGGTAATACGCTGGACCGCTGATAAGAAGACTCTTCAAGATCTGGATTTCTCGGATTATATATGCCTACCATCACACAAACTTAAAGACTTACAGGCGAAAACCAACAAAACGGCTGAAGAAGTAGGCGAATACAGTAATATTGGTAAACAAAGAGAAGATGGAGGTGCTGAAGATAGCCACGCATAAACATGAACAATGGAAGAGATTTGAAAGAGGTTGCTTCCTGAATTTAATTGATGCGCATTTTCAACCTCAGGAAGTCGCGACGGATGAAGATGTAACGGTCAGATATCTAATGACCTGAAACCAATTTGGACATCTCCTGTACTGAGTTATCTGCATAAAGAACAAGATTTGGATTTCAACGGAAACGTGAAGTTGGTTACTGCTTCTATATGGGGTCAGAAACGTGGAGACTGCATTACAAGAAGCTTTTCCAACAAGCTTAAGACTTGTACCATTAGCTGCCTTCGCTCTATACTAAACACAAAATAGCTGATCTGAAACAGTTATGAACAAGAAACTCTGGCTGGGAATCAACCAAACAAGATTCAGTCACTCGACAAATACTTGGAAGAAAATGAAGATAGATCATGCATGCATTGAGGAGGACATCAAATGATATCGCGAGCAATGGGGGTTATTTCTCGAGTCAAATTTCAGTGGAAAGCGAGGAGTGCTTCGTGGGTGCAAGGGTGACGTGGAAGATATCGTGTGGGGATAAGGTGATGATAGATTATGTGTGAACATAAAGCAACTAATCAATATGAATTATATTCAGTGTGAACTTTGTCATATACTAAACTTTACTTATTCATTCGCATTTTCTTTTTACTTTGAATCTGATGGTTAAAGAAATTTATAAAATCGTTAGCCCTCATGCCGTATGATTGAGTAATTTCAGCAGCATTTCATAGTAAACTAATCAGAAAAAATTTACAACCACATCGGACAAGAACAAAGCAGCTTCTCATCAGTGGCTTTAACATATGTGAGATGGGTGAGCAACTAGGCATTACTGTGGGTGCAGTTGCCTCCCAAAAACGCTCAAATATAAGCAAATATTGAGCATATTGCTCAGTGCATGCGGATATGATGCATTCACTATAATAATTACAAAAAAAATGAAAGATCTAAACCGGGTTAGAAAACAAGGAATCTTTTTTCAATGAATAATAATATTAGTAACGGTTGAAGTTCCAACATACAGACAGAAGTATCATTTGTTCGAATGAATATTCTCAACGTGCCATGAGGCTTGATATTTTACAGGCTGCACCTGCAAGCCAATAAAATTCCTCGTTTCCATCTTATCGAATAATTATTTTTGACCTTCCTACATTGAAACTGATGCTTTCTGTGCATACTAAGTTTATATTACAAGGAGAATGATTTGATGCGCGTACACCTACTCACGTATTGATTTACTGGTATGTATTGCATTAAGATGGACAACTTCGCTATTTTTTTAAAACGGACATCCTGTTGAATTTCACAATTCAGTCAGTTCTTACCATGAGTAATGAGTTGTTCGTGTCTTCTTGATGATGACAACAAGCGAAATAGTCTTAGGTTAATATACTGTTATTGGTGCATTTATTGAGGATTGTGAGTTAAGTGATAATGTAGACTGTCGCAAGATTCAGACCAGTTGTCAGAGAATCACTAGTCGGAAATTGCATCAGCTGAGGCATCAGAATCATCGCTAGCACGTTGTCATTCATTTAGATGATATCTCAATGTTACACGTAAAGAAAGAGTGAAGTAAAATTATATATCAAATTAGAAGCAGTTGAGTCACGTGACCTAGCCAGTAGATTCAAATCCTGTTTAGGTCTTCCAAAGTTGCTGCTGAAATCCTCATGTTTCAAAAGTTTCCACAAGTGTGCTCTTTTCCCAGCAAATCACTCACATCCCTATAAGGTGTTAACAAATTTATGTAACAAAAGTCTTACAGTGAATGTTGTTAATTTTTTCATGCGCTTCAGAGTAAATAACGCGTATTAAGAGCATTCTAGTAACCCTGTGTGTGTCGAAGCTGCATTTAGACAACCACTATAGGTTTTTAGTGGAAACCGTTTATTTTAGAATTATTTGTAACTTCTCGCAAAACCTTAGTTTATCCTTAAGTAAATGGGTGATATTTGAGCGAACGAGAAAGGAAGTGGTCGTTCACGCATCATGAAGTTTTAGTTAGAATAATTTGAAATTATATATATTTAGACGATTGTTTTATTTTTCAATTAAATAGTTAGATGTACTTCGAAAATAAACACGTCAAAGTAATAAACTATTTTCAGTATGCTGACATAGAACACTCTCAGTATCTTTGTTATTATTTGCATGAATCGCCTTCTTGTTTGAAATAGCAATCATTCGCTTTTGTCTCATTTGCAACTACATTTATATATTACACAAAATACTACATACGTTACTTTGAATATATATGTGTGTTGCTTCAGACTAACCACTGTGGTGACAGCCTTTTGAATTTTGAAACCAAACAGTCAAATGACATACAATATTCACAATCAAGGGGGTTAAATTGCAAACATCAGACCAATGCACAGTGATATATCATCAACACAAGTTAATTTTCTTACTTTAATTTAAAGAAAAGTCTAATTTCTATCAATTCACTGATGATTCATATGACCCCAGTGGCTTGAGACTTCTCAAGTGATTTATCGTCTAGTTGCAAAGCTATTTGATGCCAAAACAAATAACGTTTAGTTTTTTCAACTGATGAATTAGATGTATATTTCTTTATCGGAACATGAAAGTGAATAAATTGTACAGTTCATATAAATCTTCAATCAGAAGATAATTGCAAAAAAAGTTCGTCGTGTCAATTTTAATCCAACCTATCAAAGGAAAAATAGTAAATAAAAACGTTTACACAAAGTGAAGTAATTTCATCTTTAAATTCATAGATATTCAGGATGTTCCAAACAAGATGAAACAGTGTTAGTGATCTAATATTTTCAAATATTTCAATTTTAAAACATTCAGTGCCCCACAAACATTTAGTTTTTGTCACACTGTCATAACAGTAATATCAACTAGGAACCACTAAAATAAATAAGTCAGCAACTCTGTGGCAAAATATAAAAAAACTTCTGAATGGAATAACAAATACTGCATAACATGAAGCTGAATCTGGTGACAGTTTCGTCATCTTCGTTAACAAAAATCAGTTATCAAAATACTGACCAAACTGAATAAATTGAATCAACACTTGCACTTCAGTCCTTTTCAACGTATTTTCCAGATAGCAAGATTAAAACTTCAAGAATTTTATCGACTTGCAAAATATCACCACTAGTTTGTTGAATCCTGTTTCTAGGCCTATATTTGACATATGAATCACTGAAATTAAACAATGTCTTGATATGAGGAAACATATAAAATCCGTTGGTCACAGTTTTGATAATTTTTTCACCTCAATCTCTTCATCAGTTGAATCAAAACCAGGTTGCTTAATTTGTGATGACTTTACCACGTGTTGAAGCAATTGTGGAAATACTGGCATATAATTCGTTCGAAAGCACTCAGCATGACGACAAATGTTACAGTTGTATATGGTTCAGCGTAATTGTAAAAGGTTTGTTGAGTGGGTTTTTAGATGACTCAGTTTCACTTGACAAATTTTATTTTTCGTAGAACAGGACTTGAAGAAAATAACAGTTACAGGAGTAATATTACTTTCTTATTTAGTTGTCTGAATGTGGAGTAATAAGACGATTTAACTTGAAGAATTCACTTATCGTTTGTAACTTTAGCATGCAGATGCTATGGCTTGCATGTATTGCTACGATTTAAAATGAATGGAAATCTATATCAATCGTTAAAATGACTGTTAGGAAAGAAACAGAACCCTTAGGGAGTGCAGGCATATAAGCTGAATACTACTGAATAAGCAATAAAAAATTAGTGGCATGCTGTTAGTATTTGAGATGCTCATTTAAAAAACTTACTTCAGATTTTAATCCTGCGGTAAAACTACTAGCTGGAAAGGTGGTTAAACTTTCGTTAGCAAACCATGCAGTTCAGAGAGTAAGTCAATGTAAAAAAATTATCCACTCCAGGTGCAAGTCAAACTACACCTTTGTTTCTATTTAATTGATAGCACACAACTGTAGTTTAATACAAATATAGTAGCAGTCTTTTATACTCAGTAATTCAGAGAAGAAATATTTTTATGTGCAGAACAGTTATCTTCTCATATCAGGTAGGTGTATTTTTGTCTTTCGATTGTAGTCGATACATTGTGGCATGACTTCATGTTACTTTTACATGTCATGTTCTAATTGTGACAACTCACCTGAATTGTTCTCAGTTGATATGAAGTAATCACAGTGCCAATCGATAACATTTGCAGAAAGTAAACACAAAGGATCAACAATGCCGGTGAAGAGCTTCCCTATTACATAAACAGCTAATTTAATTAGGACCAAGGATATTGAACCAAATGAACTTGAAAGTCAAATATTTCTGATAACATTTCTGTCTTTTTTCTTTATGAATTGATGCATTAGCAAAGTAGATAGTCAATAGTTAGGTGCTATGAAGGCATTGCCATACATGAACTTTTAATCGCAATTAAAACACTTATGTTAGGTTTGATCCTAGCAGTTTGAAAATCGATGGCAAATTCTTTACTTTGGAAGTAGTTAGAGAATGTTCTACATGGTCTCTACGTCAACACTGTGAAGCTGACAAATACAAGGGATTATATTTTAAACCTACGGTTAGGATCAGCCACTTCATTTGTCAATCACCTCTTTTATTTCAATATCTTGAATGTTCCCGAACTACAAGGTGGATTGAATACAGAAGGATTCTATTTCTAATACGTGAAGACGAAAAGCCCACTGATCGTGTATGAATTTTATGAAAAACGTTTTGTAACTGAAAATCCAGTAACACTGTGCTCTTTTCAAAAACATTTCTTCAGTGATAGAAAATTGACTGGTATGCTTGTGATCACTAATGGTAGACACAAGTGGCGTTTGTATGAGGCGTATAACACTGTGATTATTATTATCTCTGACATGTTAGTTAGTTCTTCTTCCACCAATACATATCCAGGATTTTAGTGTGATTATGTGAATAATTTTCAAAAAAACAGGCAATTTAAAAGAAATAAAAACCATTCAACAAACGCACACGTAGTATCAATGGAATTATAATGACATACTGATGTCGAGTAATCCTGCTGTTAATAAAAAGTTAATCCGGTAAATAAAATTTACGGATAATAAATATTATAGCGTTCAGAACTTTTGATACTAAAGCAGATACAGTTATCTCTACAATATGAATAAATAACTAATCACTGTACTGCGGTGTGACACACGAAAGCAGCATATGACAGTCAATAAAACAGTTATCAAAGACGGAGATTTGTTACTCCATTTGTGATAGTAATTCAACAATACATTAGTTCATTAGATTGTTTTTGTGATTTCGATATGATTATGTGAATATTTTCAAAAGTTTACAGTTTGAAAGAGATGAAAATACCTTTTGAGAAAAGGCAGGTAGTCACATTCACTTATTTGTGTCCGCGAACTGATCTGTTGTTGTATAAACAATGAGTATAACACTTTGCTGTCACTAAATTCCATAGAGTTGGATCCTAATGACTTGTTTGGATATCATGCATAAAAATATTGTGTAACTGTTATTAAAGTAAAAATGAACAACGATTATATGTATGTGGATCTTTGATGAATATTTGAGAATACTGGAACAAGAGTTCACTACCAACATCAGTGTTTCATTATAAATTATTTAAATTAATCCCAGCGCGTTAAGAAAATCAAAACAAGATTTTTCTGAACGTTTCGCCGTGTAAGCCACAGCTTCTTCAGCAGGTTTATTCGGATTATAATAATTCATCAAAATATATAGTCAAAAATTTTTTACATAAAATGAAGTCAGTTTATTTGAAGGTTATTTGTCTATGGACATTTTTACTAATAGAAATATGTAAGCTGTCCTCCCATATATATATATATATATATCATCAGTGTTTTATAAATTTATTTGTTATAAATATAAGTATGAAACTTGGGCACTGTGGTAGAGTATAACTCCATTATGGATAAGATTTTATTTTGAGCAATCTGTGATTGCACAGCACTGTGATTGTACAGTAATATTAAGTGACAATAGTTAATATTATTATTAATAATATTTTTTCCTTCACGTTCCCAGTTGAACATAGGGCTTAAAGCTAGTGGCTTGAAGTTGCTGTAGCAGTGTTTAATTTTTACAGCATGAGGTTGCCCCAACCTTCCCTCTTTACGAGCATTATTTCTGGCTTAGCGAGGTAAAAGAGTGCGTCGGTAGGGGATCGAACCCTGGACCATGTGCATGGTCGTCGAGCGTCCTAGCCGCTATGGCACCGAAGCAGTAATTATTACCGTACGACACTGTGTGATTTATCAAAATAAAATTTTATCCATAATGGAGTTATTTTTTTATAAATATACGCTTTTAATGCGACAATCAAATAAAAAGCATTCATTATTGTGACAATAAACTCTGAGTTAATATCAAAGCGTTAATGGCTATTTACTTCACTCCAAAGATAAATAGATATTTTTTTATTGAAAATGATAGTGTAGCTACTTTCCTTCTTTATTCAACGGTTAGTCTAGTAACTTTAGGTGACTAATATTTAATCGTGTAATCAGAATCACCTTCGCGTTCTAGTTTACTGTTCTGCAGTCATACGAACACAGTGTGGGACCAGTAACTCATAATGAAATTCATAAAGCCAAAGAAGGTTCAGTTCAATATTGAGCATGATTAGTTAACCAATTAAGGTAGTTTAGCCTGTCATGGAATTGAGTTTGTATGTTTAGAATTCGTCCCTCACTTGTGACAGTTTAAAAATAATTTGAATGGTCACTATCGCTATTGCAATAGACAAGAAATAACATGTCAGATTGAATACTATTCATTCAGAATCTTTATTTCAAAATACAAAAGGTGTGGCGTTCAACACTGAGTTACTTCCTGTAACGACACCATTCACAAGCTGTACAATAGCATGTAAATCGTTTATTTTCTAAGTCACAACGTGACTGCTCTCACATGTATATCACTGAAATCACTTGACTTAGATAACAGTTATGCAATACACGAATCGCTATCCGGAAACAAATTGAATACTATTGAATAAACCGACTAGCGAAGGAAAGCGCTGAGAATAAACCAACCAAGCACCAATTGACTAACAAATGCGTCGATGAAAATATATATTTGCATCTGATGCACACTGAGAAGATTGTTGAGTGACATCGCACACTGGATGTCTGGGTGGAAATCGAATAGTAAACGACGAGTGGAGTATTTCAAGGTGACATGGTGGAGCTCATGTGTGGAGATAAGTGCCTGATAAGGGATGAATAAATTACGGTGATATGAAGTTGTGCTGTTCACGTCCATTTTTCCACTCAGAAAATGATAATTCTAGATAAGTATGTCAGCAGGCAATTAATGAATTACGACTCAATGCATTTCACCCTGCAATCAAATGTAAACACATTTGCTGATATCAGAATTCATAAAACTTTATCTACCTGAAACCGAAATAGGTGCAGTTTAAACTCGATCATGATTATCCAACCATTCATTGCTTTTTTAACATTGCATTAGGACGTCACACACAGGGATTAAGTTAAACAATTATTAAATTCAGCACGAATGCATGCGGTTGGCATCGAGAATTATAACAAACATAGAAAAATGCTGGATCATTACTTCAGAGGTGTATTTAACTATCAACATTGAAAACTTAACACTCCTACGCAGTTACATGTCAGATTGGAAATTTCACATTTTTAAATTCCTATTCCACTGGTACAGTAATGGCGTTCAGGGAAAAATTACTGTCTTCAGAGACGTCGCTCTCACGCTAAACAACCAATGTATATGATAAAAACAGTTTTGATCTCCTCACTAATAGGTGATTAATTATAAAGAAAGTTCCTTTCAAGCATCACAGATTACCTATTTTAGTGACAAAAATTGGAATTCAGAATACGAATGAGAAGTCAGTAATTGCTGAGTACATATCAAGGTGGTACTGGTTGGTTTGTCTCATGTTTTTATTAGCCCAAAGTACGTTGGGTAAGTGAATTAGTGATAAATATTTGATATATTATTTATCGTAGTCTCTCTTCTCACTCAGCTGCAATCTCCTACACACCACCCTAAAAGCCGCGCCTGTCGTTTCCCATCCGATTTTCTTTCGAAAACTCAACGGTTTTATCAATATGTGTTTGGTCGATCCATATTTTTTTGGAATGTCTGTTGAGAAATAGGTTTTTGGTTTATTCGTTCTCAGATTTGCTTATTCTAACCGCTTATTCTTTCTGGAAATTCAATTCCCAACCTAAGGTGAAGCCATATCTTGATAATGGTTTATTGAGGCCTGTTGGAAATGCGCAGTGAAAAAACTATCACTCTATCCAAAATAATTTCAGAAAACTAAAGTCTAAAAGTCAGGCACAACAACAATGATAATGCGGTCAATTGTTTAAATCACTGGCTTTGCGAATTTCCATCTGCTATAATGGATAAACTTCCCTTCATTTCTTATTATTTTATGCAGAGTAGGCATTATATAATTTAAAAACGTTAAAGATATACAACTGACTGTTGTGGCAAACGTATTTGCACAATTTTGGATAATTACACTCCAGTATTATCATGAAAACTATAGGCAACGTTGTTCCTAACACTTTGCATTATCATCACACATCTAAATACTTAACTTTAGAAAATTTATAAATTTTAGAATGTTTATTTCTAGGATGGTTTGAAATCTAATTTTCAACTGCATCAAGCTGAATAAGAAGCAGGTCAAATAGGTTGATTGAAGTTCTCAACAATTGTTTGTCCATATAGTCAGCTTCAATGAAAGCACTTGTTACAGATAAACCAGGTCATTTAGCCTGAAGTCATCTACTCACATATACGATGTTTTTTGAGATACTAAGCTGGTCTTATCAGCAGGAAAACCAAGTTAATATTTTTCTGGTTAATTATAAAACTATCCGCTTTCGACTGAAAAAAGAATAAGACGGTAGCAATGCCTGAGTGATCGAAGACTCACTTTGAGGAATTTATTGTTAGAAATATGTTTAGATGTGTGTTTTGATTCACAATTAATATTATTTGATGTGTTCTCTCAGATATATTTTCACTAGAGCATAGTATTGTTAATAAGCCTAAATATATCGAGGGTACTATGTAAGGCTCACCGGCAACAGAACACCGGCTGCATCGAAATTAAAACCACCAGAGTTTTATTCATAAAGTCGAACGAAATAAGTAATCAGATGGTTAACACATTGCCACTATTTTCTGAAAATGACCTTATATGAACTTTTCATCTCTGTTGTGAAGTTTAATGACGAGGACTACTCCCAAAATTCCAGAAATCAATCGTAAATAATCAAACTAATGTTTACTATTGACTGGAATGTATTGTGAATTCGTTCAAAGATTATCCAATAACTTTGTATTGTTTCCAACTTGTTCAGTCATCTCATTCTCCAAATGTACAGTTCCATGTATACGACAAATTCTTATGTCAACGAAAGGAATATTTCCAATCATGTGTCAATCAAATTGTAAGTGGCAGAAAGAAGTTAAGTAATATGGAATGCACAAGGTCGATGTAAGCTAAGAAGAGACAAGTAAACTGAATTGCAGAAGAATGCCATTTCATGGAAAATCAGTGATGCAGATTCATGTAATGTGTAATTTATTATTCAATTATCTGCAGTGTATCACTAATTTATTACATGAAGATTTGTATTTATAATAGTTTATGCGGTGGGTCACAAATATTCGGTAATCGTTAGTTAATTATACTGCCAAAAGAATAAACGAATTCTTACCGCAGCTGCCACCAGGTCATCTGTAAATGAAGCGAAATAGTGAATGATTTTGCACTAGTATCGTTACTTGTTTGTCCTTGTTATGAAAAATGTAATGAAATCTAATAAAATGCACAAAAATCTGTTCTCATACTTGATGCAAATCAAGGTTGGAAGACGAAGAAAAGTAGTAACCGAGTATTATGCAACATTAAATATGATGGTTTTTGAATGGTAACTGAGATATAAAGGAAACTTAATTGGTAATATATTTCAAACAAGCGATATCAAACACTCTAGATTATATCTTGACTACTTGAACTTAAACGCTCAAGTGGTAACCAGATCTTATTTTCATGGAACGCATCTTATGGACAGTTATGATTTGAAAGTCAAAGTAATGTCCACATATTTCCACAATACACTGGGCAATATGTAAACGCTTTTGATGAGCTCCATACCATTGATTTTAACGTACTGTCGGGTTCAAAACAATAAGCTCGATATATCTCAGAAAAATATATAAATTTTCCACTCAGTGACTTAACCGTAAATAAAACTACAACATTCAATGCTCATTTTATCGGAAAGGTGTAATCATTTAGTAATTTGTAACTGAATAGTGGAGTTGCAAATACTTCTGCAATCAAATTTATGATTTCAGTAGCTACAACCTGCTTCTAAATTCACATTTTATCCTAATTATTCACAAAACCTGCAATCAAATGGGACATTAAAAGCTTAGGAATTAAACCGGCTGACTAACTGAACACATTTGCACTGGTATCATCTCCATAATTCACAACTTTGAAAGAAAACTAATAAAATAAAAGTGTGCAGAAGCATACCACTGCAAAGAGATCGAAGCCATTGACCTGCGTAATAAATGAAAGTATGAAACAGATTGACACATTTTTATTCTAGTTATGAAGCTGTTTAAAATCCTGAGAAACCTTTGCATGTACGGTAGCAGCTGATATTCAGTATTTGGCATACAATGTACTTATTTCTAAATGACACAGTTGTCACAATCTTGTCAGAAAAACTCTCTTCTACGTGACACACATAGTATATTTCTAGGCACCAGGTAAACGTAAATCTGTAGCACTGTCATGTCAGCAAGTCAATCATAAATTCACTGAGATCTTATAACGCTTTAACATATAAAATTCAAGATTTTATAAGATGCCAACGATTAGTACTCGTGTAAGACAACACGCTGAACTGACGATTGCAATTTCATCGTAAAATGGTCTAAGTGGAAAATCTTTGAGAGTTAAAGGATGCGTTACTGTTGTATGTACACGTGATACGCATGTAGAGTGGTAGTCATTTTTTTGGAGTCATTGATATTATAAGGTGATTATAATAAATAGGACGAATTGGTTCATTATAAAACGCTGAGTCTGAACATACGAATCCTTCTGCCAATGAACATAATAATAACTCCTTGAATATTTCAAAAACAGTTAACACGGCTTACATAAAAGCCTGAACAGGATTGCTGATTCGCACAATGGTAAATATATGATATCTGAAAGAAATTGATAAATGTTGAATGCGCCATGTATGATATGATGAAATATAAATTAAGAAAGCGATTATAAAATAACCAGCTTATTGCATACCAGGAAATACGAAACAGTTCCTCTATTATAGAGAGAATGAAATGAAAAATACTTACACAATATAACTGATGATATGACAGTCAACCATATTTTGCTAAGCATCTTGCTGCTCAACAAGGTGTGATTTTGGCTTATTAATAATAACTATAAAATATAAATTGACAGCCAACCGACTGCCTATTGGCTTGATTTAAAGTGTCTTTTATTTTAGTCATGTGAAAGACACAACACAATTTGAGATCTTAGACAAATGAAAATCATATTTGCTTAAAATCTTAAAGCTACTTTTCAGGCAATAAATGAGTGAATAACTGCAGGCATTTGAATAGTAAATTACAAATTTTATGAAAGTGCATCACTGAGTTTTCATGAAATGTCAATCTTCAGCACTTCATTTTAGTTGTTTGATCTTAGCTTCCATTGAACTTATGCAATCCATATCACATAATTACCTACCGACACTTACAATCTGAATGACACATCATTGGAAATATTCCTTTTATTGACATAAGAATTTGTCGTATGCATGTGACTGTACATCTTGAGAATGACATGACTGAAGAAGTGGGGAACAATGCATAGTTTGTTGGATAATCTTTGGACGACTTCCCAGTACAGGAATTTTAGCATTTGTGATTGACTTTCACAGTATCAGAAGTGAAGCCTTCTTTATTAATACCCACAATAACGATAGCGAAATTCAGGTATTGCAAGCATTCCTGTCAAGGGTTATCTATAGGAGAGAGAGAACCATAGCTTGATATATGTTCAATTGAAATGAAGAGAAAAATCAGGTAAATGTTCTTTTTTTTTCCTGTTGAACATCATGAACTTTTTCGCATATATTTCAACGATTGTTCATTTGACATTAGACAGGTTCGTATTTCGCTGTAGGTGTTTATGGCTGGTCTTTTTAATGTATTTCCCACAAGAGATATACTTTACCAATATTACTTATCTATTTTGGTAACTGGAAGTTCATGAAAATGAAGCAAGTAGAAGTATTAGTATATGAACAAGTCTGAAAAACACGCAGTCCTGCAAATATGAAGAAAGGACGTGCCAAAGTTATGGATACTATGGTAATAATCAGATGATAGATAAACGTGATCTGATTTCCACCTAGCCTGTAATCAACTCATAGCAGCTTCTGTCAAACAATAAGACAGTTGTTTAGTACCTACGTATATGAATTCAATTGTTACTTCTGCATCTCTTACAAATTACATTATTTCATTCATCCATCTTTGCTATTCGAAGTCTTTTCGATGTTGATATTTGAGAAACCCCAGGTGAATTCTACAGTTTATTTAATTTAGCCTTTCATTTAACTGGAGTAACTACTCAGCATACAGACGAAGTGGTAAGATTGTTCACATGCTTGTTCACATGCGAATCTGTATATGTTTGTTCCAAAAGGACCGAATCTTGTCAATTAAAGTCAGGTTGAGGCAAATCTGGAACGGAAAATGCAAGGATATGTGTTTAAAAATACTTCCGAATTTGGCGCTTATAAATGGATGTATTACTGAGACACAACTACTGGGATTTTTAAAGAAATATAGTTGATGGAACATGTGCAACTCATGATTAGGAGAAGACATTCAGCAAATAAACTTCTTTCGGTGAATTTATTCACATATCTGTACAATCTTAATTCTTTATAATTATTTTGTGTGTGTGTGTACATGACCTGACGATCATTGCAGGGTTTTAGATAAACTAAGCTGTTTTGTTTTAAAGGTTTCACAGGATCCTCTTACCGAAAATTTTTAATTGAGTTAGCGGGTTTGAATGGCATTTTTATTCCCGCTCTGCTAAGAATTCTGCGTAAGGTTTCCGAGGTTCCTTCCTTGTATGGAATTACTACTGATGATTTAGATTCCTTATTGGTTGCGGCGTCATTATTATTTTTATTATTATCACTATTATTATTATCATTATTATTTTTATCATTATTATCACTATCGCTACTATCATTATGTTTTATTTTCACATTTCTTTACATATTTCCTGACTAATTTATCCGGGTAGTTAGTTAGTCTCGAGGTTTCTATTATGTGTTTCACTTCATGATTTAAAATGACACAGTTTTGAACAAAACATTTATTGTTCATAATCATTTCACCAATTATAATCACAGGACTTTGATTCTTGGGTTTTATAGTTTTCTTTGTCCCCTACTATTTGTCGTATTGGAAATCTAGGAAAAACTCACCTTTAGCACTAAAGGCAGTCACACACATTCATATAATAAGATAGGGAAGGTTGATAGTTTTAAAATCTAATGTCACAGAATGAAGAGAGAGATTGATAACAGAAGCTTTCTTTATCGAATTAACTGCAAATACATGTAATAGGAATGATTCAACACCTGTCTCAAACATCTTGTAAATTCTACTATCATTACGACAAATAGGAGAAGACAAAGGAAACTATCAAACTCAAGTTTCAAAGTCGTCTGATGATAAGTGATGAAATGATTATGAACAATAAATTGTGTTCGACACGTCATGCGGTAAATAATAATGTTTCACTGTGTGATTTATCTAATAAACAGAATAATATGGAACTGCTTACTATCACATGGTGTTTGTCAAGTTTAGATAATAAATTAGGTAATTCAAGAATGATTTAATATAGAAATTAGGTTAATTATACAGCAACTAAAATATGATTGATTGAGTTAGTATAGTAATAAGACGTAATATTATTGACTAAAATGAAAGAAGAAGTCATGTGTACTACCTCTTATGATTACTTAATTAAATCCAATATCTAAGCTTGTCATTGAATATTTCAAAATACGTTTTAGTCATGTTTACAACTTTACGTGGTCATCTCCATGAAGTGTGATATCATTTTAATGGTGACAGGACAACCGAAACAACAGTCTCATTTTTGCACAAATCATGGCATATTTATCTTTCTTGTTCACAGTGCTAATTAGAAATGAAATAAGTTGTTGATGTGGAATACTGGCGATAATGCATTTTCTAAGGGCAAACATAATCGTGATGGAAAAGCTGTATATATTGAGCAAAGTCAGCATGTGTTACCTCTTATTCAAAAGGCTGGACTGGGGTTAGATTCATGACTTGATGTCTATGGTTAAGATTTTGTGAAGACTGAGACTCCATCACAATACGGAAATTCCAGATTTCCACCTACATCGGTATACATTTACAATTCTTGCAACTAATTAAGAAATCATTTTGTTATAGAGTGCTTCGCATTGTTTGCCTGAGCGTAGACACTGAAGTCGGTTTTGTTTGATGTCAACACACTTGTTTTCATATGATATCCGATGATGGAACTGTATTTGTGCATATAGTCCTAATGCAATCGCATATCGCGTGAGATCTGAACTTAGCGAATTCCGGTATGATCATTTCCTAGAAGATGCTCAGGTTCTAAGGAATAATACCACATATTTGAAGAAGACTGAATAAGTATGAAGTACAAACGAGACGACAGCACTCAGTCCTTCTATGTTGCCTATCATCATAACCTCATGGCGTTTTGGTTCTAGTGTAGTGTTTGTCACATTTTATGCAATATCTACTGTATACAGGTTTGAAAAATAATTCAAAACAGGCATAGAACACAAATGATGACCTTCACGTCATTCAGCTACAGCGCAGACTAAAAGATCCAAGCATGAACAAGTTAGGGAAAATATCCGTCGAGCCGAGGGGACATTACTTTTGGTAGAAGACTAAAAGCATTTAGGATAACAACATTGCTAACTAGTGAAAAGACTGCAATCAATATTTGATATGTATGACTTCCATACATGCTCCACTTCGGAGCCGGTAAAAATTCTACATATCTTGAATGTCTCATAGTTTGTCTTTCTCATGATATACACGAACGACACTTTGAATCAAGCCAATCTATAAGAAATATATTACTGATAATTATTAACTATGTGCCAAAATCATATATTCCTTGAACAGAAACATGTTGAACAGAATATGGTTGACTGTAATGTCATCAATTGTCTTGTTTAAGTAGTTCCTCATTTTGTGCTGAATTATTGGACATTTTGAAATTTATCAATTAACTCGCTATTTCCCTGCATGTTGTAAGTTTAATTTCATATTTTCACTTTCTAAAATTGAATTTCATTTTTTTGCAAGGGGCGTATAACAGTTATCAATTTCTTCTAGATGTCATGCATCTACCATCATGTGAATTAGGATTCCTCTGGGGTTTTCTCTGTAAGTCGTTTTAGGTGGTTCTAAAACTGAAAGGATACTATCATTTTCACTTTCTTGAGGTGTTGAATACAATAGCTGATAATTTCGTAATGATCTATTAGGTCCTATGAATGATTACACCGTGAAACACTGAAAATATCTACGTAATTCAAGAGAACGGTGGCTACACACAGAGATTATTTATTCTTATTCCAATAATTATTTATCATTATTATTGCTCCATTGGGTTCCTAGTGGAACATAGGGCTTCAACTGCACGTCTCCATTTGCTTCTGTCTTCTGCTGTACTTTTCGCCTGCATCCATGTTAGTTCATAAATTCTTTCAACTACTCTTCACACGATCTCTTCCATGTCACCCTTGAAAAGACGTCCCACACGCCGCTTCCCTTTCGGGTTCCACTCGGCCAATGGCCTGAAAAACGCGCGACGTCACCCAAAAGCGGTCTCCTCAGCGAGTGTCCGATCCATCTCCACCTTCTCCTGCATATTTATTAGGCGATTGGTTCTTGCTATGTTTGTTCCCATAATTCCTTGTTTGTGATTCTTTCCGGCAATCTGATCTTCAGTAAAGAGCAAAGACAGTTGTTAATAAAGGTCTGCAGCCTTTTGGAATTATTCTTTGTGACCCGCCCGCCAAGTTTCTGATCCGTGTAGAAGAACTGACTTTACGTTTGTATTGAAAATCCGAATTTTGTTGGTGATGCTGAGTGACAAAGATTTCCAGATTGATTTCAGGTTGATGAATGTGTTTCTCGCCTTCCTGATTCTCGAAAAATTTGACATCCTCGTCCGTTCCGACTTCCGGTAGTTGCGACAATGCTCCCTAGATAAAAAAGTGAATGAAGTAACCTCTTCCAAATCCCTCCCGTTGGTGGTGATTGACGTTGGATGCTGTTGCTGTTGTTGGTTGTTTATTTTCATAACCTCCGTCTTGTCTGTGTTTACCTGGAGTCCTGTCTTAAAATGCCGCTTCTTCGACCAGTTTGTTGGTTTTCGCTGGTAAGTCTCCGATTTCGTGTGACATCAAACATAAATCATCAAAACGCGAAATCCAGGTCTTCTAGGTTCTACACGTCGGTCAAAACAGGATATTCCTGTCTTCTCGTTACCCACTGTAAGAAGCATAATCCAGTCCACCACATTTAGGAATATCATTGGTGATAATAAGCACATTTGTCTGACTCATGTGTTTACTCCAAACGCCTCGCTGAGTTTTCCGTTGTGGATGACTTTACATGTGCCGTTGTCGTACAACTGTTAAATGAGGTTGATGAATATTTGGGGTACGCCATAGTACTCAAGTGATTTCCAAATAACGTCACGGTCAACGCTGTAGAAGGCCTTCTCAGTGTCTATAAAGTTGAGGTAGAAGTTTGATCGCCATTCCATGCTTTGCTCTGTGATGATGCGTAGAGTTCCAATTTGGTCAGTACCTGATTGCCTTTCCTGAATTCAGCTTGTTCTGGTCGGAGTTCTATCTCCAGTGCGTCCTTTAATCTCTCCAGGATGATGCGATTCAGGATTTTAATTGGCGTTGATAGGAGCATGATTCCTCGCCAGTTCTTGCAGAGTGGGGCGTAAGTCGCCCTTCTTTGGTAGTTTCACGAGGTAATCTATCTTCCACTCAGTGAGCATGTTTCCCTTTTCCAGATCTTTTGCAATAATTGAGTCAGCATGTCTGCTGTAGTTTCTGGGTCCGCTTTCAGTGCTTCAGGGGCTAATCCATCTGGTCCGGCTGCTTTTCCAGATTTCAGAAGCTTGATTGCATTCAAGACTTCAGCTCTCGTTGGATGATTGGTGTCAACTTGCAGTTGTGTGCGTACTGTTGTTGGTATTCCTGAAACAACAGTCTCATTTTTGCACAAATCATGGCATATTTATCTTTCTTGTTCACAGTGCTAATTAGAAATGAAATAAGTTGTTGATGTGGAATACTGGCGATAATGCATTTTCTAAGGGCAAACATAATCGTGATGGAAAAGCTGTATATATTGAGCAAAGTCAGCATGTGTTACCTCTTATTCAAAAGGCTGGACTGGGGTTAGATTCATGACTTGATGTCTATGGTTAAGATTTTGTGAAGACTGAGACTCCATCACAATACGGAAATTCCAGATTTCCACCTACATCGGTATACATTTACAATTCTTGCGCTGAAGATGTCACCCAGTAAGGTGATGAAAGCTTCGCAAACTAACTATCCAGCTCAGAGAACAAAACCACATCAAAATTATCCACCTGAGCTACAAATCTTCTCTATCATAATTAAGAAATCAATTTGTCATAGAGTGTTTCGCATTATTTGCCTTAGCGTAGACATTGAAGTAGGATTTTTTAATGTCAACACAATTGTTTTCATGCAGTATCTGATGATGTAATCGTGTATTGGTGCATATAGGCTTAGTCTATGTTTACACAATCACCTATTCCATTTACTTTAAAACTTTTGACTTCCGACATAGTCACTTCCCTGTAAGTCATTTAGGTTTTGCGGAATAGTATTGCATAATTGAAGAATACTGATTGAATATGGAATATAACAGCATTCGGACCTTCTATGTTGGGTATTATCATCATCTGAAGGGCTCTTTGTTTCTAAATATTAACATTTGAACTGTGTCTCTAAAATGTGTCTGATAGTAAATAAAATGTGTCAATCAATAGTTCGCGTTTTTCTATCATTTTTGAAGTTTTTTATTTAAAATCTCTACTTTCTTTCAATTTTATTAGTGTCCGTGTTTGCCTACATGTATTTTTATGAAAGAATATGCATTGCGCCTCTCCTCAGCTAACTTATATTTTTAAATTCTTATTCGAACGGGGACATCCACCTAGACCATTGAGTCGTTTATGACATTTTATGCAATTTATTTTGTACATGGTTTCAAAATCATTGGAAATAGTCATAGAACACAAAAGAATATCATCCCGTTTATTTAGTTATTGCACAAACTAAAAGATACGACCATGAAGAAGTTATAGAAAATACCCGTCGAGGCAATCGAACATTACTGCTATTAGAAGAATGAAACTACTCAAGACAACAGAATTGTTAATCATAGAAAAGACTGCTACCGATATTTCATATGTCTGTCTTCTACACATGAACCACATGTCTTAAACGTCCAACTGTATGTCTTTCCCGTGACATATACAGGCTCAACTTTGATTTGAACCAATAACCAATTGGGCACCACCTGCTATATAACTGATAATTATTGACTATAAGACGAAATCATTGTGTTTCGTCAACAGAAACATGTTCAACGAAATATGGTTGACTGTAATATCATCAATTGTCTTGTGTAAGAAATTCATCATTTTTTTAATGAATTATTGGACATTTTCTGAAATTTATCAATTCAGTTGTTATTTCCCTGTATCTAATAAAGTGAATTTACACATTCTCTCTTCAAAATTAAATTTCATCATATTATCCATCAAGCTTATAACATTTATCAAATTCTTCTAGATGTCATGCATCTACCACTATGCGAATCAGGATTCATCTGGCGTTGTCTTTGTAAGTCGTTCTAAGCGGTTCTAAAATTCAAAAGACTGTATCATTTTCACTGTCATGATGGGTTAAATAATATTGTTGATAATCGCATTATCATCTGTTAGGTCCTGTGCATGATTAACACATGAAACACCGAAAATATCTGCGTAATGCAGAAGAATGGGGACCACACACAGAGATTATTTGTTCTGATTACAGTAACACTTTCCTACTTAACATATATATATATGTCCTAAGTACACAGGACAGTTATTCATCCTGTCACGGTAATGAGTGGTATATGGTGAGCAATTTTGCAATGAAAATGCGCTCGTGTGCCGATTCCGTCGACTTTCTCGAGTGATAATATTTGTCGTCTTATAAAATCCTTATATGATGTATTGAAGCATAAATAAATGAGTCGTGATCCCATGTACTAAAAGGATTTTATGTGCAATTAGATACATTAGGTGTTATTCCTTAAAACTCTCCATGTTTGATGATTAAGTAAGACTAAGTTAACCCGTTTAACAAATAAGAGTTTTACACCAAATTTATTCAGCTTCCGTTTCGTGTAAGAAACAGATTTTGTGTGTCTGCAATCTTTGAATGCCAATTCGCAATCATGGACCATGTTGTAAAGCGCACGCTGTTTTTTCATTTTAAGAGCATAAGACAAGCTGAAAATATATCTATTTCTGATTATATTCAGTTGAAACATGTTTGCTGGCTAAGCATTCATTTAAATTTGTTTTTGACTGGTATTCTTATTTGCCGTTTCTTTTGGTTCCGTGTGGAACATTGGGTTTCAACAACATGTCTTCACTTTGCGAAATTTTATGGGGTCCTTTTAAGTTGTTCTTATGATGTCAACAGTTTGTCACCTTATCTTTGACGATCTCCACTATGTAGCTCGATATGTACTCTAGTTATTTAGGTAACAATGAGTTTTTCTAGAAGGATTGTGGATTTGAAAGAGACAAGGCAAACAAAATTACTGCATGCATAAAAACGTTAATGTTACCATAGAAACTGAATACTAACTACCACTATGTACGAGACTCGAAGAGTTCTGAGTAGTTAATTAACCTCAATGAAACCGTTTTTTGTCTTAATTTGTTTGTTTAACACACAGGTGATTGGTTTAGAATGTTTTGTGAAGGTAGGAATCTTCATGCCTTTATATTCCTTCTCTCCTTTTTAAAAATGTGAATTTTGGAGATACTTTCATTGTTACAAAAATTTAAAAGTTAGTGAGTTCAATTTGTAGAACTGTTAAAAGGTTTGTTACCAGTTTTACTATAAAATGGATTGAAAAGTAGACTGTGGCTGCCGGAATCGTGAGGCTGATATCAGAATTCGGCTAAACTGCACTTTTCATTTAAAAGTAACTATACTATTACGTTTATACTGACCGTGGATAAAATGAGCATAAATGTTATATTTTTATTTGAACAGACTATGTATATAGGACAAAGCAGGGAATTCGCTGTGTGTCTGAGGCATATCGAGCTTATTTCTTTCCACTTCATGTTAAGTTCAAATCAATGAAACCCCAACGATTTTTTGTAGAAGCGTGTAACTATTCCTTCAATCCTGAAAACAGACTTGCACACTAGATGAGTATCATGAATATAAGATGTTCAGCGAATCAAAATGTAATCTAATATGCTGCATGCTGCTTGTTCAAACAAGGTCATCATTCAATTTTCTAGTTTTTCTGAATCATCGTCTCATCGATATCAAACAGGATCCACCTAAATGACAACTCGATACCTGTATTTATCTCTCAGCCTCAGTTTTCACCGACTGAAGAAACACATACTGTATATATGTGCATTTTTTGATTATAAACTTTGAATGTTACATAACGAGGACAAATGAGTAGTAATAAAATTGCGAAATAATATAATATTTCGTTTTACTTATAGGAGAACCGGATATGGATTCGGTAAGTATACCTATATTTTGTGGAAGTGCACTGATATGTTAATAATCTGCCATTCGTTGTAATCACAGATCATCGTGAATACGATTCTTCAGATGATGTAACAGCTATCAACTACGGGTTTTTCAATACACCTGAATACATTTCACAGAATTTTGTCCCTGAAATGAAATGTTCCTAGGAAATGTCTTTTTTTATGCAGTTCAGTTCAATAAGTTTCATTCTTTTTACACCGGCCTAATACCTATTGTACCATGTAATTCTCTTTGAAACTGGCAATTTTAAATAGTCATGTTTGGAAATCCTGTTTTTCTTACCATTAGAACTAGCAATGTGTAGGTATGCATGCAGCTGTAAAAATTGAGAATAATATCGTTAAAGAGGGCAGCCTTTCTGTGAATTCCTCTTATCATATAATCAGGTGAAAATGTTTATAACTGTGCATGTATATAAATATATATATGTTATATATATATATAAATCGAAGAAATATTGAGAACTTGCGTAATGCTTATGTAGCTGTCTAAACGACTTCTCAATATTCTTTTGCCTTTAGCGTACATCTCTCATCTAATTCGATGCTACATGAATTGTTGTCAGTAATAATGTATCAAGATGCATCATTTTCGACTGACTATGAAAGCATCAGAAGAAAAGTTTCTGTTAATAAAAATTGATACTATTTATAACGCTATTTTCTGTGTCAACCTCAAAAAATAATGGAAATGAGCCGACTGATTGATTACTTATTTTCAAAGCGCTGTATCAATATAAATTTCGGTCTTTTTCATGCAGCAGCAAGGGTAGTAGAAGTAACCGGTCTGTCTAAGGAGTAACCATGTGTGTACCAGGCTTATTACCAGGCACATGACCAGCTGAAAGTGTTTCCAATTTTGAAGAATTATCATTCTTCCTTGAAGTGAACTTTAGTGAAATGCATAAGTGTAACATCATGAATAAAACAACCTGAACGAGTATCTTTATTGTGCACTATCCTGTTTCCTATTCAGCAGAATGTCAAAACTAATCTCTTATTTTAACACTTAAGTCTCTGATAAATCTGATATGTGTTTCAAGTGTGTGATCCAACTCTATCATCTGACGTCTAATTTGCACAGCAATTTTCCTTTTCTTCCCTCTATTTCTTCTGTCGTACACATTGAATGAGTATAACGAAAGTCACGCAATTTGAAAACTCGAAGTTCCGTGCAGCTGTGGAGACGATATTCGACTTCGATCTTTATTTCTGCGTAAACCTGCTTCATCTTAAAATGCTTACTTGCATCAAAGAAAGCACCTGTCTCTCGAACAAATATTACTTCTACTGAGCATGAGTGATTCGAGGAAGAAGTACTGTGTGAAGTGGGGTAGAGCAAAACACATTTATTAAAGATTTCTCCTAATATTTCTTACTCTTCCCTTAACAGTATGCAATATCACTTGATCATTTCCACAAAGTGTTCAACTTGATCACTGGACTGCATTTACTATGCAGAAGAATAAGGTGCTATACATGAGAATGCCTGCAGAAATGTTTGAGTGACGAAGTAGTTACCTGCGAACATCCTTAAATTAATCAAACATAAAGGAGAACGATTTATTTATTCTTTGGGACTAATTCGATCGAATTCATGCTCGCTGACTAGATATAATATACATCAACTCAAAGAAGCTAGTTATTCAAATAAAAGAGTGGGAGGTTCGCCGCTACTTGTAAGTCATTGTGGTAACTTTTAAGTGATATTTCGTCCACAAATACGCACAAGTGTGGATAACCTCACCTAGTTAAGTAGCTCGCTAGTTTTTAAGCCAGTCACAATAAGGGTAAAGAGGTAAAGTTGTACGTGGGATTAGCAACCTCACATAACTAAACATATAAAACGCACAGAAAAATATAATAAAAATACAAAAACTTTAGTATCACTTGTATTCTTTTCTGAAATTTGAGAGGCAAAATGACGCGTGGCGGTGAAAGCCAGCCTTCGAGAATCCAATCAGCTAGCCGATATGTCTTCTTACGTTGAAAGGAATAATTAGATTGGGAACATGGAATGTCCGTACAATGTACGAGGCTGGCTATGAAAGCTTCTGAGGCAGCCAAAGAAATGCGAAGATGTGGCTTAGATGTGCTGGAGTTCTGAAAGAGCAGACAAAGTGGATTTGGATCATCAAAATTATCAACTGGACACAAATCCTAAGCATTCAAACTGAATTTAATGACAGGATAAACCAGTTTCTGTTTCACACGCCATTTGAATACGAAAACTACTGTAATTGGTTAATTTATCCTGATCAAGTTTGGACTAAACCTGCTTCGGCTTTATGAACTTCAATATTAGTAACTAGTACCATACTGTGTCTGTATGACTGCAAAGCAGCTTTCTAGGACCCGATGGTGATTCTTATTACACAATTAAAAATTTGCATCTCATTGTTACTGAACCTTACGTTGAATAATGATGAGTTGAATAAAGAAGGAAGGCAGCTACACTATCATTTTGAATAAAAAATCATCTACTTTTCTTTGAAGTAAAGTACGTAGCCATCAACGCCTTGATATTTACTTGAGGACATTTTCACAATAGTGAATGATTTTAATGAACAGTTACATCATAAGAGTATACTTAAAGCAAATACCTTTAAAAAACCCTGTTGTTGGTAGTGAACACTTGTCCTAGTACTTTCAAATATTCATCAAATATCCGCGTACATATCATTGTCGTCCATAGTGAATTTGATAAGACCAACATAATGTTCTTGTGCATGATATCCGAATAAATCATCAAAGTAGAATGATTGGTTGACTGATGATATTATGTTTCTAAATGGGTATGTTTTAGTTTTATTAGGATCCGACTTCATGGAATTAAATGGCAAGGAATTATTACTCTAATTGTTTTTACGAAAACAGACCAGTTAACTGACTCAGATATGTGACTGTTTCTTCAGAGTTATTTTCATCTCTTTTAAATTGTCTACTTTGAAAATATTCACATAATCATATCGAAATCACAAAAACACTCCGAAGAACTGAATTATTGGTGAACTAGTATCACAGATGGAGATACAAATCGCCGTTAATGAAAACTACTTTATTGACTGTCTCATACTGCTCCTGAGTGTTACATCTGAGTACATCTCAATTATTGATTGATGTTTAATAGCTAACTGGATCTGCTTTACTTTCAAAATTCTTGTTGTTCATAGCATTTATTATTCTTCCGTTGTATTTCCCGGACTACCTTTTTAATAACAGGGGGATTCCTCGTCATTGGTAAGTCATTATGATTCTGATCATTCCGCGTCTGCCTTTGTAGAATGCTTTTCATTTCTCTTCAGCTTCTCCATTTCTTGAAAACAATTCACATAATCACATTAAAATCTCGGAGATGTAATAGTGGAAGAAGAAATGTCATGTTAGGGAAAATAATCTAACTGTAATACGACTCATATAAATGCCAGTTGTCTCTGCCATGACTAATCACAAGCATACCATCCAATTGGTTTCACTGAAGATATGCGTATAAAAGGGAGGAAAGGCTGACTGGATTTTCAGTTACCATACGTGCCCCTTAAAATGAGTAAACGATCGGAGGATATTTCGTCTTCATGTGGTAGTAATGGAGCCTTTCTCAGATCGATACATCTATATAATTCGGGCATATTCAAGATTTTGTAATAAAGGAGGTGATTGACAAATGAACTGTCTCAAAGTAGATCTCTTTGCATTTGTCAGCTTTACAACGTTGACGTTGACAGACAATGTGGAGCATTCTCCCAACTACTAACGAGGTAAAGATGTTCGCCATCGATTTTCAATCTGCTTACATTCACACCCAACAGCAGTGTTTTAGGTTGCTCTACGACAATGGCTTCATTGCTTCTGGCTAATCACTATCTAATTTGCTTATGCAACAAAACATAAAAAAGGTATAGAAATATTGCCGGCAAGTTTGACTTTCAAGTTCGTTTGGTTGAATATCCCTGGTTTTAATTACACTGATTGCTCGTGTAATAGGGATACTATTTAGAATCAGAGGTTTGGAATAGGATCACCTTGTCCTGGATCTTTTTTATACATATATATATATATAATTATATGTAGCATTTTTATTACAATACACAACAAACAATTTACCAATCAAATGGTGATATTTTTGTTGACAATAATTAGTCAGTGTTAACATGTCAACGGCGTGATAATTGGTACACACTATTAAAAGGTAGAAATGGTTACAACACGTGGATTACATAATGCACAATTTTGGAAAAATGACGAGTAATCAAGGAATAAGCGTGTGCAAAGGTTGATTACGTAACAGATTGTTAGAGAAAATAAAACGATTTGGACTATGATAATTTGTAACTAAGGGTGAAGTAGTCAGAAAAATAAACTTATTTGGATAATTATAATTTTTATAATTTCTAAAGGTTTAAGGAGGGACCAGGGTGAAGTATTCCGGTTTATACATTCATGTGACTATGGTAATGGTAAGCAAAAAGGCTGTGCAAATTTCTTCTGAATACACAGATTTGGCTTCTTCAGGTGGATTCCGATTGCTTCAGCTGTTTGTAGAAGACGAACTCGATAAAGCAAAATTTAGGTTAGTAGGAATGCGATAAATAATTTTAAATTCAGTATTAACATCTACATTATGCTCCCTATCTACAACGTGTGCTAATAGATCTTGTTTGTCCCTTGCTTAACCATGCTGAATGATGTTCGGAAATACGATGATGAACCTGCCTTATTGTACGCTGCATGTATTTGGCTCCGCAGCTGTAGTCAAACCAGTAGATACATATAGAGGAGGCAAATTTAGTTAGTTTATCCTTACTTCTCGAACGTAGAATACGGGTGATTGTGAAGAGACAACGTACGTCTGCTGCAGAAGGAGCTCCTTTAACTGCATTATGCAGGATGTTGTCATCGAGGAACTGCAATTTTATGAACAGTGGTTTTTTTGAAACTGTTGCCTGCTGAATTCATATTTTTCTAGAAGAACTTATCTGGATAACCATTTTTATAAGTAATTTTCTAATAATCTTAAGCTCCTCATTGACCCAGTAGTTTGAACAGATTAACCTGGCTGTATGAACCAGACACTTAACCAGGTTATGTTTACAATTCAAAGGTAGAAAACTCTAAAAATGAGTTTACTGGCCTGTTGTTGTAGGCTTCATGTACACACTCCATCTTCTTTCCTTGCCATGAAGACATCTAGGAATGATGTAGGGAACTAATTGAAAAGTAAATATTTATTCTCTCAGTCTTTCTGTTCTCTAAATGTCTAAATGGGGATCTTTTCTATATCGAAATCTTCACAGGAGACAGTTTTACTGGGTCTCTAAAAGTCAAGGTAAGGTTTTTTTATAATAAGCATCTGAAATACTAATAGCATACCATTGATTATTTGATCATTATGTAGTCGTATTCAGCTGCTGTTTCTGCACTCCCTTAATGTTCGGTTACTGCTTATTGCTTATTTCAAATACCGTAATAATTGGCAATTTATTATAAACCATAGACATAAACCAAAGGAATCAACTCTCCATTTTCAAAATACTTTCATGCTGAGGTTACAAACGATAATTGAATTATGCACGATAAATTGTGCTATAACTCCGCATACAGACAGCTTAATAAGCAAAGAATATTAATCGTGTAACTTTTATTTTGTTTAGTCCTATTCCCCGAAGAATAAAATTTATCAAATTAAGCGGATTCATCTGGAAACTCACTTAACGCGCCTTTTTCAATTACGTTGAACCAAATACAACTGTAACATTTGCCGTCATGCTTAGTGCTTCTCAAAGAATTATAAGTAAGTATTTCCACAATCCCTAAAACACGTGTGAAACTCATCACAAACAAAGTAACATGGTTTTGTTTCAACTAATAAACAGCGTGAGGTAGTTTAATGAAACAAAATCATCATAAAAGAAGTCGTTATTTTATTACAATGATTCATATGCTGAATATGGACCAAGAGTAAGGATTCAACAGCACACTAGAGATATTTTGAAAGTTGATAAAATTCTTGACGTTTTCATCTTGCCACCTCAAACATACTTTAAAAAGAACTGAAATGAAGGTGTTGTTTCAATTGATTCAGTTTGATCAGTACTTCCTAATTGTTTTTGCTCACGAAGATGACGAAATCGTCATCAGATACAGATTCACATTATGCAATAATGGTACTTCATTGAGAAGTTTGTTTCGCTTTTTGTCATAAAGTTACTGACTTATTTTAGTGGTTCATAAAGTGATATAATAATTAAAGTGAGACAAAAAGCAAATGTTTTTGGGACGATGTACGTTTTAAAAGAGAAATATTTGAAAATATTAGAGCACTAACAGTGTTTGATCATGTTTGGAATATCTTAAGCATTTATGACTTTAAAGATGGAAATCCTCTACATTGTGTAATCTTTTTATTTATCATTTTCTTCTTGACAGATTGGATCGAAGATGCCACGACGGACTTCATTTTTTCAATTGTCTTCGTAAAATTACGGATTAACATAACACAGACAGATTATTGGAGACTTCTCTTAACTGTACAATTTATTCACATCCATATTCCGATAAAAGTAAATGCATCTGTTTCACCGATTGAGGAGAATAAATCTAATTTGTTTTCGCATCGATCTGACTCGTAACAAGACGATAAATCACTTGAGCAGACTCAATTCATTAGGTCACATGGACCGTCTTTAGAATGATAAAATTCGAGTTATGTTTGAAATAAGGAAATGAATAAACTTCCGTTGATTGACAAGTCACTGCCCAATTGTCTGATGATTGCATTTTAGCTTTTTTGAGTGTGAATGTGTGAATCATTTAACTTTTCAGTTTCTTAATTCAGAAAGCTGCAACAACACAGTGTTTAGTCTGAAACAATACCCACATATATTGATCATAACCACTTGTAGTATTTTGTGTAATATATAAAAGTAGTTGCATATACGACACAAGTGAATGATTTCTATTTCAAATAAGAGGGTAATTCAAGCAAATATGAACAAAGATACTAAAGGTTTTTTATGTAAACATACTGGAAATAATTTATTGACGCCCTTATTCTCGAATTTACACTCCGATTTAATTGAAAAACAGCAGGAACACTCGAGTATATATGTGCTTCAAATTATTCCCACCAGATTGTGCATGAAAAGATCACTTCCTGTCCAAGCCGCTGGTTTGCCTGAATATCACCTATTTTCTCAAGAATAAACCTAGGTCTTCTCGAGAATTATGAATAAATTCTCAAGAAACGCTTTCCACTTCAAACATACAGTGGCGGTCTAAAACCAGCTTCGACACAGTGTTGGCAGAATGATGTGCATACACGTGATTTACTCTGAAGCACACGACATAAGTAAACATTACGAAGCTTTTATGACGTACATTTATCAAAAACCAAGAGGGATGTCAGTCATTCGCTACAAAGAAGCCATAAATAAAGACTATGCACCTACTGGCTAGGTCACGTGACTCAAATGCCGATAAGTCGATAGATAATTTTACTCCAGTTTTCCGGTAAAACATCGAGATATTATCTGAATGATTGATTACGCGTTAGGCGTTGCGTCTCAGACCTCAGCTGATACAATTCCAAATTAGTTATTCTCTGTTATCTGGTCCGAATTTTGTCACAATCTCCATTATCACTTGTCTCATAACCATCGCTGAATGCATCAATAGCAATATGCCCACTTGAACTGTCAAAAAATTGCTTTGCATTTAAAACTACATCTGCAGTTTTTGCTCAGAATACATTTCCAGTTTTGTTCGTGGGAGAAATACATTCATTTTGAAACTTAAAAGGTAATCTATACGGATCAGAGACTTGGCGAGTCATAAGGAGCATCTCAAACAAACTTCAGACTTTCACCAACAGCTGCCTTTGCTCAATACTCAATATAAGATGACCAGAAATGATCAGCAACAAAGATCTCTGGGAGCAAACCAACCAGGAACCGATTGTGAAACAAATAGGCGGGAAGAAGTGGAGATGTATTGACCATACACTGAGGAAACCATCAAGTGACATCACCAGACAAGCCATTACTCGAGTGGAACCTTAAAGGGAAGCGGTGAGTTGGTCGTCAGTGCAAGGGTGACTTGGAGGAGGTCATGCGAGGAGGAGATGAGAGCATGCGGGCAGACTTGGAGCGAGGTGAAAAAGTTGGCAGAAAACGGAAGGCAATGGAGGTGTGCAGCTGAAGCCCTATGTTCCTCCAGGAATTAAAGGATATTATAATGATAATAAACGGTAGCGATAAACTGTTATGTACTCGTCGCTAAATTATTGTTATGTACTGGTCGGGAATTTAATAGTCCTGAAGCAAGAAGGCGGAAATCAGAAGACCACTAGGTTTGCGATGATACTTCTATTTTCCAAACACAAGGAGAATGCAATAAGTGGTATCACACCAAAGTAGTCACACAAGATTGTCAGAGGAAATATATATAAATGTCCAGACAAGTGTGTGAAGTAATCTATAGAAAGTCTTAACATGAATGGCTAATTATAATGGAGTATCGATCCATATATACATAGCAAAATATAGCAGACATGTCAACAACCACACATATAATATGGATATTTCTCGCCAAGCAACGGACTGTCAACAAACACTCATATTATATACTATATAAGGGGAATATACATTGTTAAAGGAGACAGGTTCATCAAAGTGAAATGGTCACAGACTAAGCGAGCAACAGAAAGAGAGATTACCTTACACACACACATATATATATATATGTGGATACATTTCATAAACTCAGGACACAAAAGCAGTGAAAGGAAAATGTCAAAAAGAAATTCCTCATATGTTTAATACTTGCGGGTAACAGCAAGGAAGTTCCGGACCTAGGTTTCGTGTTTGTCGGCACTCATCACCGTCGAGAAATAGACTAGTCTTCTAAGATTTGAAAGTGTGTCCGGGAGTTTTGCAGGTGTGGAGGCTACAGCTGACCTATATGAGCTCAAGAATTTCCTCTTAAAGGACTGTAGTGCATGGATCGATTATTCATCTTACTAATTTTTTGTATTGACGCAGACTGATTTCTTGAAGTCGAGTGTGCATTGGGGTCATAAAACTACTCCAAATCATTACTAGGGACTATGGTTATGAAATCAGTTACACTCTAGTTTCTAATTGGTATAACACTCTCTTTATATTTTTTGAGATTACGCGAGGGGTTCAGAATGACGACTTTATACATAAAATTCAACAATTAATTCACACAATGCTCTAGATATACTTTGAAATGGTTCATTAGATTGATCGTTCTTCTGCAGTAGCAAGCTTTATAAGTGCAGTTTAATTAGTAAGTTCACTTTGAAAGGGCGACATCGTTTCACAAAATCAGTTATCTGAAGATCAAATGGAGAAAACGTTGTTTACTAAAGTCCTTCGTGGAGATTCTTCTTAAGTGATCTTATAAAGGTTCTTTAGTTAGAGAATTCACGAATTTCACGTCAAGTAACTTTTCAGCAGTTGATGGACAATAATATACTTTTGTTGAATAGCGAACTCATCTTATATTCAGAACATTATCAGATATCCGTTTCAAGGAGTATTTCATGACTGGAAATGAGTTTTATTTAGACGGGTACCTGCTGCTAGTTTGATCAAATACTTAGTCACTTTTCAGTATGGAGAAACAAAGTAAATAACGTCAAGGGATTTTACTAACTTGTGGTACTATTTGTTATTCGACCTACTGGTCCAGTGATGTACACCAATATTAAACAGTTACTAATCCTTGATGAAGAATACTGCTAGATGTCGTGAAAAATTACTGTGGTTCACACTTTCCATCATCCATTCAACCTACGATTATATTTGGATGAACTGCGAGATAACAATAAAACAAAGATTTGTGCGTTTTATTTCTCAATGATTCATTCATAAATTCATCTAAGGTAAATTCCCTCAAAATAGACTCAACTTTGTTCTCAAAGTAAAATCATCTGAATAAAAAGATGTAACAACTTTGATAAAAACTGTCTTGTGCATCACAAAAATCATAGAAAAGAGCTTTTACGAAGACAGTATTGCTGATCGCCTCGACGTTCATTCGTCAGCTGGCTGCTTATATAGGAAAATATTTTATCTCTAAGAACATAAGTGAACTGACGTGACATTTCCTTGGGTATTGTCAAAACCTCCTCCACTTTAATATATCGAATTCTGTCCATATAGTGAAAATGTTGTCTTCGGGAATCAATTTTACAAGTTCATCGTATAGCTGTTCAGGTATAGCAGCTACCACTTCCAGGTTGTATCTTTCATAAGTTAGACATACTGCGAAAGCAGTTGAAGTTGTATAGGCACATTCATTTTATAAACTGTCCTAAACCAATCCTGTATGTAACATGACATTTAAAATAGACACACAATGACTGGTTGATTCACCTTGGAAACACAGAAAAGTACACTAGAAGACACTGCTTGTCTGATTATATATTTCAGTAAAGCAATCGCACTTACCAACATTTCATACATTTTGCAATGTTTCCTAATATAATAACAGGGAGGTGCATCACCGCTGGTGAGTTAATTTATTTACCTTTTGAAACAAACTTCCTGTTACAAGGCTACTTAACGCTGCTTCTTGAATTGTTTTCTTTCATTTTGAACTGATCGGTGTGCATCATGTTTTTGTATGATACTTCTATTATAATGTAAGCGAAGAAAAGCCAGGTGCTGGATACTTACTACTAATGTGCCCACCTATTCAGCAGATACGGTTAGTTATATGCTGACGGCCAAAAGTGACAAAGGTTTAGGCTGATTTTACGATTCCTCTTCATAATTATTCTACAGAATTTCTTATACACAACATCTTAATATACGGAATGAAACAAATTGATAAGATGTATGCAGGCCACCTGGGTGTGTTTTGGTTTCATAATATTTGAATTGCTTTACACTGGCTGTGTTTTTGATAACAATGAGGTCTACCACTAGCCGTAAGTAATTACGATTGACTAAAGTGTCACTATTCCCACTGTGACTGTCTTTATCAGTGTCTGTCGGTTAATTTGCTTTTTGTTTTAAACTGAGTATTTTACCGAACAGATTATCATCATGCCGCTATTTTATGGGTCTGTGTGTAAATGAAATACATAGCCATCATATTGTGATGAAGCCATATAAAAGTTGATGATTTCATTTTAGTTAGGTAAGGAAATTCTCTGTACATCCAATTTCCTTAAGATTTCCTTTGGCTCAGAGTAATTAGAGAAAACGTCAAGCGTCGTCTCTTGGAAAAACCTTAAGGTGTTTGCATTCGAATTTACCATTCGAATTATTTATATTTCACTCATTTTCTTTGCAGCATGTCGATAATTCTAAAACATCTTTGTAGTGGTACCTCATTACTAATCCCTCACTTTTAACTGCTTTGTCTTTTCTTAACCTTAGGTTTGAATACTATGATGATTGCCTTAATAGATTTTTATAAAAATTTACCTTAAAAAATAAGTTTTAAAGATTTCGATTCCAAAGATATTTTCAGCCAAAAATTAGTCACTGAATACTGTGGAACCTTCATGTAACACTTTATATTACGATGCCCAATTATTTCGCATACAGACAACCAAATAAGTATAGTGTTTTATTCGTTCAGCATGTCCAGTGCT